TAATATATATAAATATATATCATGCTATAATGCGAGAAAACGATTCAGGAATGCTTTCTTGAAACTCGCTTTACTTGTCGCTTTGGCTCTCTTCTCGCTTCGCTTTCACTCTGACATGTTTTAAGCGATTACATGTAAATCTGCATGTAGAGCTTTCTCGCATATTGTCGCTCCATATCGCTTCGCTTATCAAGGCCACTCTGACATCAGTCTGAAATATATTTTGATATTTTAAAACTCTCACACAAAAAAATAAAATAAATATTATTTACTAATAATAATTTCAGTATAAGAATTTGACGAAGGTGGTCATATTTAGAATCTACTTTGTGAAAATAAATGTATATAATACGCTCAGTGCTTGCCTGTGCGGCTTTCATTACCCAGTTAACTGCTGCTGAGATAAGGATGTTATCGAGTTGCATTCGCTTTTGATATTAAGCGTGCCCCAGCGAACCCAGTGCGCCTTTATATTTAAATGCAAATGTCCTCGAAGTCCGACAATAACGATATCAACAGAGCGATATACATATTACCTACTTGGCCCAGCACACCAAAACATACAAACTAACTGCCAAGCACACGCACACATACACACACACACACACACACATGCACACGTACTGCTGTGTGAGTGTTAGCCTTAAGGCAAAGGACTCACGTGAGCGATTAAAATCTGAAGGAAAGTATTTGTGTTTTATTTTACTTTTATTTTATTTTTTCGCTACTTCTGCTGCTGCTCCTGCTGCAACTGAACGAGGGTTGATGCCGCCAGCTGAGGTGTAAATGAGCAGAGCAGAGCTGAGCTGAGCTGAGCTGTGCGACGCGATGCGACGCTGAAAGTGTTGCCCAGCTGCGACGCGGGCAGAGGCAGTGGCAGTGGCAGCGGCAACGGCAGCGGCAGCGGCAGCGGCGTGTAATTGGAGGCGAGTGTCGTGTAAAATGTAAAACTTGCGCCGTAAATAAATCAAAACTTTCTGACTGAACAAACATTCAGGTGAGCGAAAAATGCAGCATGCGACGGCAACAGCCGCCAGCGTCAGCTTCAGAGCTTCAGCTACAGCTCCAATCCAAATGCGGGCCTCAGCTAGGGCAGGTGGGTCGGTAGGGGTAGGGCGGTGCAGCGCACAGTTACATATTGACAAGTACGCCCAATGGGCGGCTGTGCTGTGTGTGTGTGTGGGAAGGTGTGCAGCTGAAAGCCGTTACACGAACGAGGCCGCTGCTAAAAATTGGAACAGCTGCTGCCGTTGGGCCTGAGAGGTAAGGCTCTTCACCTGCAGCCGGCTGAGCAGTTGACGGCGCAGTTGACAGCGTTTTTAATTTTTTATATTTTTTTTTTGCGAAACATCAAGCTTAAATGCTGAGTAAATTAACGCTATATCTACACACACACACACACACAGACAGAGAGAGAGAGCGAGAGAGAGAGAGAGGGAGAGAGCAGCGAAATAGACCTCTTGAAATCACAAATGAGCTGCATTGTCTTGAGACTTTGTTGCCTGCCAGCCCCAGCAAAGTTTATTTGTGGCCACACACTAAACGAAATGTAAATGTATCATTAATACTGCCCAGAGCACAACTACATTCATATATACATATATATCTATAGAGAGCTCGAAAGTTGCGTGCAAAAGTTTTGCGGATATCTTGGCAAAATGTGGGCAGCAGCAAGTCGCATTTGTTGTGGCAGCAATAATAAAATCATAAAAATATTATTATGTATAAACAGTTGCATAAAAGAGATCTTAAAACCATTTGCACGCTTCCGCTGCTCTGCCTCTGTTTCAAGCTCAACTTTCTCATATCTGCAGCCAGCATTGAGGTAAAAAGAACAACCAAAAAGAAAAAACTTTTGAATAAGTTGTCAGGTTTCTGGCATACCCAGCCTTAGCTATAGCGAAAGGCATATTGCATATCCTTAGCTAATATTAAAATATTAGTTAGAATAAATTCAAATTGATTAACAAACATTATTGACTGACATGGAAATATAGTAATAAAGTCTCGAAAAAGCTAAAAGAACAAGTTCGTTCATAAAGCTGAATAAAAATTGTTAAATATTATTCGTAATATATATTTCAGTATCTATTTTAGTTTTCAATTTTTTATTTTTATTTATCGATTTATTATTTTTTTATTGATTCATTGGATCACTCAATTAAATTTATATT